ATTATTTTTATAACTATTATAGTTTAATAAAATTATTTTTTAATCATTATTTATATTTATATACAAAATCAGATATTAAAAAATTTAAATTGCATTTTGATTCCTTATTAGTATTCGAAACACGGTATTGGAATACAAATACCATTCCGATTCTTTAATTTTCATTCCAATTTACGTATTTTCATTTTCATCACTTTATTTCGATTACCAAATAGCACCTTAGTAGGTTTTCTTTTATCTTCAAACGGGGTTCCAAAATTTCCTACCTTTGTATCAAAACCAAATGGGTTTCCCCAAAAAGACAAAAACTTTCATATTTACAAGGCGAGTAGGTCAGCATGTCGCCGATGGACGGTCTTTGCTTGGTAAAGAACGTGATAAATCGAAGTTTTTGGGTATTGAGCTTGTGACTCTCAAAAAAATTATTCCACTTGGGTTAATATTCTTTTGTATTCTTTTTAACCACACAATCCTTAGAGACACCAAAGATGCGTTGGTTGTCACGATCAAAGGTAACAGATGCGAAATTATACCATTCTTGAAAACTTGGGTGGATTTGCCTATGGTCAGTTGGGTTCATGTTATTGTATATAAAATTGGCTAATGTCTTAAGCAAGCTCTCATGTTATTATATACGAAAACTCGCTGCTACGATTGAATTTTCATGTGAAGCCTTTGATGGATTTGAAGAAAGACTTCCTCTTGAAGCGATTTATACGAAATTTTAGATGATGGTGGGATAAAAATATTGATAATGAAAAAAGTTTCTTCGTTTTAGTAATAGGATAATAGAGATTTTTTTTAATTAGTTTATATAATTAAAATTATAAAAGTATATAATGGTTATAGTCATATTTAAAAAATTTAAAAATTTTTTCAATTGAGTGTGTTAATTAAAAGTAACAAGTTAATAATTTTAATTTATCTAATTAAGCGATTTTGATTGAATTTAAATTTAAAAAATGAGCTTATTTAGATTATCAAATAAACTTTTTATATTAAGTATTACAACTTAATTTTTTAAGCTACTTAAATAGTTTATCAAATAAGTCTAAAATAAGGTTATTTAAGCAAAATCTAAATAGTTGAGGGTCTCAATTGGGACAAATAATAGACGAGGAACTCAATTGGGACAAACATAACAATACGAGGGCAATATATATATACACACATATATGAAGTAAACATGAAATACAAATTACGTGTTTTGAGGTTGCACACTACATAGCTAGCCAAAGTATTGTCTATCAAGGCACTAATTTATTACTCTATATTGATTCGTTAACCGCATTTCTAACGTAATTAAACAGTCTAACTTTGAACGTATAGGCGGTTGTGGCCGGTGTCGTTTATTTATCTCTATGTCATCATCAAATGATTCAAATTCTTAACTAACTACGGCATTGACTGGTCAGATGATGCCAAAATTTGGGTCGAATAAAATAGTGTTATCCGCGTAATTTGTCAATTTACATGGTATAATAATTGGGATTAATATATCTACATCTACCTTTGGTCAGCTTATCCTTTTTTTTTTTTCTCCTTCTTTTACCTGTTTTCTGCTATTTTCTCTACACTCAATTTTTTAAATGGCAGGTGAAAGAAATCAACGCAAATTTAATTACAACTTGATATATAAAAATTTGAAACTTGAAAAGCATATAGAAAGTGATTTCTTGCAAAATATAAAGTATTGAATGCAGATTGCAAATTGTTTTTTCCATCCTTTCCGTCTTCGGAATATATGTGTCTGTTTTTAATCATTAATTAAATTCTACCCAATTAATTAAATTCTGGGTTAGAATTCTACTCAATTATGGAAATTAATCCACTAAATTATAAAAACAAAACATTCCATTTTATATACAGTAATGCGTGTTGTTAAGGCAAATATTAGAAAAACTCATTAATTAAATTCACGCGGTCTAGAATTATGAAAAAGAAGCAACATGTAATTAACTTGAAAATGTGTCATCCATGCACTATAATTATATAGTTACCTTTAATTAAATGATCTCACATCCCTAGCTAATCAACTCGACCAGCTGATCACAAATTTAATTAATATGATAGAGGAACCTAGGTAGCTAGCTAGCTAGCAAGGTCCCAATAAAATTCATGCATGGAACTTAATACGATAACCTCATAAAATGATATTTAATTAACTTGATTTTATATACATATTAAAAAATAAAAAAATACAGTAGATATCTTACATCTGATGAGATGGTAACCAGTGATCAATTTAATTATGTGGAGACTCTATCAAGCACGGGCATGCATGAGGCTCTACTAGAAAGAGGCCAGGAACGCCAAGGGCGGATCTGATCATTTTCAATTACATTGATCAGTGCTGTTTTTTTCCAAGAGATGAATCAATTAATTAATACTTAGCAGCTTGAGATTCCATTAATTAATGTATTAATACTAGATAGATACTGGATCAATATACATAGAATCTTCAAATCTATATGACTCCCAGTAGAGTTTGTTTTCTGCAAGATACTATACGTACCAATAAATAAATTAATAAATCTGGTCCCTCTCGTAAGCTAACAATTTGTATCAAAACACCTTATAATTAATAATATTAAGCTTTGCAAAGTCCACGGATGAGATAATATACCTTATTATATTCTTGTAATTTTTGTTAGCTGTTATAATTAAATGAATGACCGAAATGAATGAGATCATTAATTATTAAGAATTTGTTAAGAGTGTTTACTAATGGTTCAAGTTACTATATAATTAAATCAATGCTTGGAATGCACACAGCATGCGCATAGGAGTGAGCAAATCATCCATCATTTCTTTCGAGTAAAGTTTCTCTCACTACACCTTTTTTTTTTTCCTTCTTCCTTAGTGCATAATGCACACTGAACACACATATATATCTAATATTTTCCGGTGCTTTTGTTTATTGGGAATGCTTGCTGATGTTGGTTTCCTTGATATCAATATTAGCATCAACAGTATTTCCAATTCCTATCCCAAATTGATGAGAAAATTAGGCATCAAAGTGATTATCAATATGAGGTTTATAAATTGTCAAAACTATTTGATTGGTTAGCACTGTGTACTCCATTGTCTATTATATATGATTATTGGCTACTGGCTCTTAAATTTACCCTATAATTGGTATGATCTACAGAAACCAAATCCATGTACAAGGTTTTTTAATCCTTTTTTTTTTTTTTTATAGAGGCATGGCTAATGATATGTCTCAATTCCCTATTCATCGAGAGGTATTTTTGCAGATCATGCCCTTAGAATTTTTGTTTTTGCATCTGAGTATTTATTATTATTATTTTTTTTGAATTAACTGCTCCTTAGCTGGGTATATAAATATATAATTTGATAAGTCATACTATATTAATGCTTCACTCAATTTACAGAATTGATCTAATCGTTAATGAGATGTACTCTGTCTTTAGCTATTAGGGATCTAAATAAAGATCAAGTTATGAAAAGTACTTTTTTCTTAAATCTTTTAGTCTTAGAGGCCTTTTATTAGTAGACTGAAAAGATATAGATTTACTTACATTTTTAATCTTCATAAACAGTTATCGTTTGACTATTGAAAAGTTGAAAGACAGAAAAAAGAACATTAAGGTTGTTGTCAAATGTAGAGAATAATTCCGTTTTCTGAAAAAAATATCTCCACAAGTACAAAAAATATAGAATTTTATATCTAATTTTTTTTTTTTTTTCATTTAGAGAGCTGAAAAACACACTTTTCGATTCTCCACACAATTTGGAAAACATTTTTTCGATGTCTTTCAAGTTTCTCTCTCTCTCTCTTTTAATATAGAAAACACTTTTTTTTCGGTAACAAAAACATTCACTATTATTTATACAAATTTTTTAATCTATCCTGTATGTAGTTTTTGTTTTTAGATTTTCATTTACCTTTTCTCTAATCTATTTCATTATGTGTTTCTATCTTATATTTCCTTTATATATGTTATTGATGAAGAAATAATTACAATATTATGAACAATATCACTTTTTTATCCTGTATAATAAATTTTATGAAAATATATAAAAATTAATTAGTATGGATAAAATTTTTATCCAATTCATATGGAAAAAACTAAAATTTTTTTTTAATAAACTATATATAAGTAAAAACTTAGAAAAAATTATGTTGGAACATGTTTTTCAATTTCCAAAGTGGAAAATATTTTTTCACAACAACCAAATGAACATATTTTCCACATTATCTATAGAAAATAAAAATAAAAAATAAAAAATAAAATTAGAAATAGAAGATGAAAAACTATTCTCTGCCCTAAATTATTTATTGGAAAATACATAATATTGGTTAGTTTTAACTTAAAATTTAGGAGATTTTTGATAAATCATTACGATCAAAAATTTCAAAATAATGGAGAAAATGAGGACCATAATGGATTGTTCATAATTAAGAAAGCAAAGAAGAACGTTGGTTTATATATATATATATATATAAATGTATATAATTACAGAAACTGATTCATGTGAATACAATGAATCAGATGTTGGTAATTATTGTTTCATATTGATTAAAAACAGTATGATGCTGATCTATTTAGTATTTCCACTAATGCAAATATATATTTGGTTCCACATTCACTGGATTTATTTATGCAATAATAATTTTTCACGACGTCATCTGCTTTGAGTCAAAGACTCAAAGTAGTGGTAGGGCTATAAAACCTACTCATCTTACATGAATTATAAATATCCCCTTCTTCGGGAAAAAGAAAAGAAAAAAAATCACCCGCCGTTAGATTCTCAATGATTCGCTAACTACTAAAAAATAGAAATTCTCCTTCTCAATCAAGCCAACTTTTGGCTAAACCCACTGCCTACTTATAAATAGTTTCTCCCATTTAGAAGATCTTTTTTTTTTTATATATAAGATTTCTGACCCCCAAACATCACTTATATATATATTTATAACTTCTTGTGCAGGAGTTGAAGAACGTAGACTACACACAGATATTACACTCTGTTCGATGGCAACAAACTTCTTGGCATTAGCATGCATACGCAAAGAGAGTTATGAGGAGTACTTATCGCCAAGGCCAAGGTATCCTTCCATGCCCAAGTACCCGAAAGGGGTTTCGGTTCAAGAGACGAACGTGGAAGGATCAGAGGCAAAGGCAGTGTTTTCTGTTGTGGGAATGACATGTTCTGCTTGTGCTGGATCTGTTGAGAAAGCTATCAAGAGGCTTCCTGGGATAAGAGAGGCTGTTGTTGATGTGTTGAATAATAAGGCTCAAGTTGTATTCTATCCCAGTTTCGTTAACGTAAGTTATCCTTTCTTTTGTTTCTTATCTTGATCCCCTTTTTTTTTCCTTCTTTTTTTGTCGTGTGCGTGAAGTAAAAGCAATTGAACTTCTTTTCTTAGTGTTAAATCAAGGAAAGAAAAAGGCATAATCAAGGAACTGTAATAATTGGTGCTTCTTTTTTAATCTTATAATAGTTTGTCACTAGCTAGTTTGATTTTAAATTTAGAGATCAAGTTGCTTTTTGTTAGTTAATACTATCTGAGAATTCTTGTTTAATTATTTCAAATAGAAGAGAAATTTATCTAAGGTTGAAGGCATGTCATGTTAATTAGAATGATTAATTGAATCCCGACCTTCAAATTCGTAAATAACAGAGTAACAAAATTGAATGAATTTTGGGTGTTTTTGATATATAGTGGAAATAAAACGCATGCATGTATAGTACGTACTTAATTTTGCAAGCTCTCCTAGAAATGGTCTCTAGTTTTGATATATAGTGGAAATGAAACGCATGCTTGTAAGGGTGAAAGAGATGCGTTGATATAGTCGTAGGCTGAAAACTAACCATTTGAGTAAGTTTTAGAGCCTATTTCATTTTTCGACAGCAAGTTCAAACTGGCATACCAGATGTTTTATACTTGGATGATGTGATGTGCGTCTAGATAGCTGCCAAGTGGCAGATAGGCGAGAGATAAGGTTTGTCTTTGAGTGTCCTAGATAGCAAAAATTGGTGGAACCATTTTACATTCCAATACTATGTAAAGATAATTGGACCAACTCTTATACATACAAATATAAAAGGTAAAAAAGACGTTCTCTCTCTCTCTTTGGTATGGGCAATCTGGAATACTAGATGATTTCCACGATTTAGGTGCAAAAAGAGAGGCTTTTAAGGCTAAATTTGAGGCAATCTTTTTAGAGAACTTTTGGACGTGTGTACTATTTCAAAGAGATAATTTCCTCCAAAAAAGCATTATTTTTTTTTCTCTGGTTAGTTTTATTTGGAGACTATTTATACTGAATAATTTAATTAAAAATCATTTGCCTTTTAACCAATAATACATTTAATTTAATCCTTTATTTTCTTCTTTAAATTTGATCTTGGCATCCATCCATTTGGCATATTTGCATTTAATTTGGATACACTGTTTTCTTAGAAAAACATCACCTTCACTTTTCTCTTCACCAGATAATGGCTTGTTTCCGTGTCCGGACAGAAACATGCATGCCTCTTTTCATTTTTCTGTTAGTGCACGAAGCAAGTGTTTTCTTTTTCATCATTGCCAGATCATGATTTCCTGATTGTGACCTTGAAGGGCCAACTCTTGATAGAGGAATAATATCACAGTTCACAAGGCTCAAATCTACATGGTCGGAGGTTTTTTTTTTTTTTTTTTCAATCAGTCAGGGTACACTAGAACTACTAGTTTTGTATACAAGGACTAAAATACCTTCCTGGGTACAAATGTTAATGAGAAATTTCTTGCACCCTCTTAGATTTGTGGATGTGTATTCTTTAACATTAATGTTGCTAATACAAATGTTTGAACTGAGAAATGGTTGGTGCTGGTTTCAGTGTTATCGATTATTGTTTACTGAGTGATTCCTCAGTGACTGTTATAATTGAAGGCTGAGTATTTTGACTAAGTTTTGAACTGAAGCTGTATGCGAAATAATTCTCCCTTTTCTTTACCATCATTTCATAGGAAGAAACTATCCGCGAGACTATCGAAGATGTTGGATTTCAAGCCGCATTGATTGAAGATGAGATGAATGAAAGATCTAGTCAAGTATGCAGAATACAGATTAATGGAATAAGTTGCACTTCCTGCTGCTGTACAGCTGAAATAGTTCTGCAAGCAATTCATGGCGTACAAAGAATCCAGGTGTCTTTGGCCACTGAAGAAGCTGAAGTTTACTATGATCCAAAGATCCTAGACTACAACCACCTGTTAGATGCCATGGAAGATATAGGATTTGAAGCCATGCTTATGAGTGCTGGAGAAGCTGTGAGCAAGATAGATCTTAAAGTTGACGGTTTAAAGGCAGAACATTCAATCCAAATAATAGAAAATTCGCTTCAAACACTTCCAGGGGTTCAAGCAATCGAAATAGACCCTGAGCTCGATAAAATTTCCATTTCTTACAAACCAAGCATGACAGGTCCTAGAAATTTTATCAAAGCCATTGAATCAGCTGGGTCCGAAAACCTCAAGGCAATTGTATTTCCACAAGGAGAAGACAAAGAAACTCACAGACAAAAAGAAATCAAGCGATACCGTGGCACCTTCTTGTGGAGTTTGGTTTTCGCGATTCCCATATTTCTAATTTCCATGGTATTTATGTATATCCCTATAATTAATCGTCAACTAGACATCAAGGTAGTCAATATGCTAAGTGTAGGAGAGCTAATGAAATGGATACTATCGACCCCAGTGCAATTCGTGATAGGCCGGCGATTCTATACAGGATCTTATAAAGCATTGCGGCGTGGTTCTGCTAACATGGATGTTTTGATTGCCTTAGGAACAAATGCAGCCTACTTCTATTCAGTCTACTCAGTATTGAGAGCTTCTAGCTCTCCAGACTTTGAGGGTACTGATTTCTTTGAAACTAGCTCAATGCTCATCTCAATTATTATTCTTGGGAAGTACCTCGAGGTTATGGCTAAGGGAAAGACATCTGAGGCAATGGCCAAGCTTATGGACTTGGCACCTGGCACCGCAATATTATTAACCCTGGATGATGAAGGAAATGTGATCAGGGAAGAAGAAATAGATAGTCGGTTGATACAAAGGAATGATGTGATTAAAATCACACCTGGTACAAAAGTGGCTTCAGATGGTTTTGTTATTTGGGGGCAGAGCCATGTGAATGAGAGCATGATAACCGGAGAAGCACGGCCAGTGGCTAAGAGGACAGGTGATGCGGTAATCGGGGGGACAGTTAATGAGAATGGGGTGGTGCACATTAAGGCAACGACTGTCGGATCTGAGAGTGCTCTGTCACAGATTGTTCGGCTTGTTGAGTCAGCTCAGTTGGCTAAAGCTCCTGTACAGAAATTTGCTGATCGCATCTCCAAATACTTTGTGCCCCTTGTAAGTCCATAATACGCTGTTAAAATTCATCATTAATTTCATTAGCTCATTTAAATCCAAATACTTTGTTAATTGCTGGTGAATGTTTGTAGGTCATTATTCTTTCCTTTTCAACCTGGCTTGCATGGTTTTTAGCTGGAAAGTTCCATGGATATCCGGACTCTTGGATACCACAGTCCATGGATAGCTTTCAGCTTGCTCTCCAATTTGGAATCTCTGTTATGGTCATAGCCTGCCCTTGTGCTCTAGGATTAGCAACTCCAACAGCTGTCATGGTTGGCACTGGAGTTGGCGCATCTCAGGGTGTTCTAATCAAAGGTGGCCAAGCATTAGAAAGTGCACATAAGGTTGGCAAGAAATTTCAATTTTCTATTTACAGGCACTGTCTTGACGAATTCACATACTGCTCCAAGACCATTTTGGCCAATCTGATTGAAACTGAAATCTGTTTAAGTTATTAAACCCCTTTTCTGTCCTAAGAATTGCTGTAAATGAGGCACAAAACTCTCAGGAACTCTTTTTCTGATGAATGATTTTGCAGGTGAATTGCATTGTCTTTGACAAGACAGGAACTCTTACGATGGGAAAGCCAGTGGTTGTTAACACAAGACTTGTGAAATATATGGTACTGAGAGATTTTTATGAACTCGTAGCTGCAGCTGAGGTAAGCTTTGCTCCTTGTAAACTCACGTTAAGAGTGTATGCTTACCAATAAAATCTAAATCTTTGGTCATTCTAGTGACTGTACTGAAGCTTAAAGAATATAGGGCAAACTATCTGCGTATTGCGTGATGAACACTGATAAAGTTGGTGTTGTGCTTCCACATCAGGTAAACAGTGAGCACCCATTGGCCAAGGCCATTGTAGAGTATGCCAAGAAATTCAGAGAAGATGAAGAGAGCCCTATGTGGCCAGAAGCACGAGATTTTGAGTCCATTACTGGCCACGGAGTGAAGGCTATTGTCAGAAAAAAGGAAGTGATGGTGGGAAACAAAAGCTTGATGTTGGAACACAACATCCCCATTTCAATTGATGCAGAAGAGATGCTAGCAGAAGCTGAAGGGATGGCTCAAACTGGGATTCTAGTATCGATTGATAGGGAATTGACTGGAGTTCTAGCCATATCAGATCCATTGAAACCGGGTGCTCCCGAGGTCATTTCCATTCTCAAGTCCATGAAAGTTAGGAGCATAATGGTGACAGGTGACAACTGGGGAACTGCCAATTCCATTTCCAGGGAAGTTGGGATTGAAACAGTTACTGCAGAAGCCGAGCCTGAGCAGAAAGCTGAGAAAGTGAAGGAATTACAGGTACATATCTGAACTTTTTTTTTTCCTTTCCTCTAAGAATTTATTAGGTTAATATCTTTCTTTCACAGGCTGCAGGCTATATGGTGGCAATGGTAGGTGATGGGATAAATGATTCACCAGCACTCGTAGCAGCAGATGTTGGTATGGCCATTGGTGCAGGCACAGATATTGCTATAGAGGCAGCTGACATAGTTCTAATGAAGAGCAACCTGGAGGATGTGATCACTGCTATAGATCTCTCCCGGAAAACCTTTTCCCGAATTCGCTTGAACTACATTTGGGCTTTGGGGTATAACCTCCTGGGCATTCCAATAGCTGCCGGAGCTCTTTTTCCAGGCACTGGATATCGTTTACCACCCTGGATCGCTGGAGCGGCAATGGCAGCCTCTTCAGTCAGTGTTGTTGTGTGCTCACTCTTGTTGAAGAATTATAAAAGGCCCAAGAAGCTGGAAAATCTAGATATTCGTGGAATAATGGTTGAGTGATTGATTACTATGGTTTTGATACCATATTTTGTATAAATGTATAGGGGCGGAATTTGCCTTGTGATAAGCTTAAGCATGTGTTCCTTGAGCTGTGTGGATAGTCTGTACAAATTGTTGCGTTGTTTGGTGTTCTATGTATAAATATTTTGCTAGTGGTGTTGTGCTTTGCCGATGCTTCTTGAATGTCTATGCAAGTATTAAGCATTAAATGAAGGCATTTAGGAAGAACAGCAACGAAGAAAGCTTTTCTGGTGCTCGAAATAATTAAATGATTGACCTGCTATTTTTTCGAATGATAATCATCCCAGTAAGACTAATGTAAAACTGAAAGTTCTTCACAGTTATAGGTGCCATTGATTGATAACAAATGGTTGTAACCTAAAGCAAGTTGAAAGTAATGCAATTGTTGGGTTCAGCAGCGGGTGATCAGAAATGTTGATAAACAGAAGCTTGTCGTTTGGGGCAAGCGAAAAGTCCTTTCTGACGCATTACAAGTCATTTTGTGCTCATTGGTTCATGTGTTTCTTGTGATTTCATCTAGGTCTCATTCAAACTCTTTATTCTTTGTCCATAATGTAATCTCTACAAATTAAGCATGGTATGGTGTCTTTATCGATCAATGACCTATTGATTGAATGTCCCGTGAAGGTTTCGCATTCTTAATTTTATCTTTTCTTATTCTGAACATTTTTTTTGAATGAGCAATAGATAATAGAAACATGGACAAAGTGGCATCCACTTGTTTGCTGTGAAAATATTGAATATAAAATCAACTTGGATATCATTTTCCTAACCACTTAGCACTGAATGAAAACATTGTAGGATATTGCTCAGCATCCATTTCTCTATGAACATAGAGAAAATCCAAACTCAGATCTTTCCTTCTTATATTCATGAAAAATATGAGGACATAAAGGCTTAAAACCTACATTTTTACAGATCAAGAAACTAAATTAAATTATTCTTGTTAGGTATAGACATGACTCAAGAGCCAATACGAATAACGGTATTACCAATACCAAACCCAAACCATGGTGGCCTCGCTTAGCCCTTTTCGGGAGTTGCTATTTTCTTTAGAAGCGACTTGAATAGGCGACTCATAACTATTGCGCTCATTAGGGGATACAACATTTGTAGGTAAGTGTTTAGTTCTACTTTGTTCTACTTAGTCGGGTGAAATAGAATTTAGGCCATGAATTATTGCTGAAAAAATTATTTCTATCGGATGAATTTATGGAAGAGTTCGATTCACTACCTTGGTTTGGCCATCGGTTTGTGGATGACAAATAGTAGAAAACAACTACTTAGTTTCCAACTTACTCCACAAAGTCTTCCAAAAATAGCTTAAGAACTTGGCATCACGATTAGAAACGATACTCTTTGGCATTCCATGCAAATGTACTATTTCTCGAAAGAACAAGTTTGCAATATTGTTGGCATCATCTGTTTTATGGCAAGCAATGAAGTGCGCCATCTTTGAAAACCTATCAACAACAAAAATGGAATCCCTCCCTTTCCTATTTTGCGGTAGTCCTAACACAAAATCCATGTAAATGTCAACCCAAGGTGAACTAGGAATAGATACTGGGGTGTACAAGTCACGGGATCTAACTTTAGATTTAGCTTGTCTACACATCACACATTTCTCACAAAACCTCTTTATTAGTGTAAGTGCCTAAGATGTTTGAGTTATTGTATTATTACATCATTTATTTTATTAATAATAAAGAATTTTTTCTATTAATTCTTATATTTTATGTTTATTAATTCAGGTAGAATTAGATAGAAGTCTATATGATATGCATTTGCAATTGATTGAAAGATGTGAGACAAACACTAACGCACATAAATGATATCATTAAATATTTCAAGTCGTAGTATTATTAAGAATGGACATTGACTAGATATGGTTAGACTTGTGAGTGTTATGCTCATGCTATATGATAATAGTATGTACAAGCTATGGGGTTTAACTTTAGATTTAGCTTGCTTACACATCATACACTTCTCACAAAACCTCTCTGTTAGTGTAGGTGCCCAAGATGTTTAAGTTGTTATATTATTGCATCATTTATTTTATTAATAATAAATAATTCTTTTCATTAATTCTTATGTTTTATGTTTATTAATTCAGTAGAATTAGATAAAAATCTATATGATATGCATTTGCATATTATTGAAAGATGTGGGACAAATAATAATGCACATAAATGATATCATTAAATATCTCAAGTCGTAGCATTGTCAAGAATGGACATTGACTAGATGTGGTTAGACTTGTGAGTGTTATGCTCATGCTATATGATAATAATAAGAGATCTCACATCTATTGGCATGATGATGCCAAAACAAGCACTTAGGTGATTTATGTTAGAGAACATATCATTGGACTTGACTCACCATGAGAATTCATTTAGTTTAGTTTATGAAAATCTCATACGAGATAGGTACACGGAGTCCAAATTAATTAATTAATTGGGTCAAAATAGTTTTTGGTCAATAGGTTTAATTAAAAGCCTAAAAGATATTTTGGTGGAAGGATAAATATGAACCTTATTAGATAAGGATGAATGTTTTAAAGATAAAGATAAAAAACCCACAAGTAAAATAACTCTTAATCCTTTGAGGATTAGGAAGCAACAACTAAGAATCCAATTAGAACTAGTTGCTGCCCCCCTCTTTGTCCTCTAAACTCTCTCCCCATAAATAGGAGGAGAAGTGCAACAATAAATAAGATGAAAAGGGAGAGAAAAATTTGTCACATAAAATAAAAGGGACACATAACTCAAAATAAAAATTAGGAGAAAATTGTTTTCTCCGTAACCCTAGCATGCCACTTTTCTTCTCTCTCTTTGAGTTATCGTAAAATTATCCCGATTAGATTTCTATAGGAAATACCAAACAAGTCGGAAAATGTGGAGCTAACACTCTATCAATTTTGAGTGCTTCTTTATGGGTGTTTGGACTCGTGTGGATTATCAATAGAGGTTGGACACTTGGACGACTCTTTTTTACAAAGGTTTAAATCTACACTACAAGAGGTAATTCCTCTATTCATCACTCTAATTCATGAATATATGATTAGTTGATTTTATGACATAATCTTAGGCACTTTAGATGGAAGATTTTTTATTTTATTTTGCACTTCCATAGGATGTATGATTCTTCAATTGGTATCAAAGTCTCCGTTGAATCTTTGATTGTATGTTTTATTAATTATGATTAACCGTATGAATTAGCTATGCATGATTATAAATCTTGTGTTTTTGATATTTTATGAGAATTTAAAACAGAAATTTGGGTTAAAATCAATGGAGGTACGCGAGATCGACATTGGATGTTAGTGCACGTGCATATGAACACCCCCGGTTGGTTGTGTACTAGGGGAGCCTGTAGGCCAAATAGTCATGCGCCTTGCTCGTATAGGCCAAGTGTGCGCATAAGGCACGGGCCAAATGCTCCCACGCCGAGCCGTAGGCCAATCTTGCACGCGAAGCCACGGGCGAGTGCTCACGCCTCGAGCTACTAGCCATACATGCCAAGTTGAAGGCTTGGGCATCGAAGCTCGTGGGCCCTCGAGGCTAGAAATCCCATGGGCCCAAAGTGGGTCAAAGGCTCGAAAATTTTTAAAATTGAAATTTAGGAAAATTTTGATAAATTTATAAAATGAACAAAACATAGATTTATAATTACAATTTAAATAAAATGTGTTTCATTAGTATTTCATGTATCAATGTGATTAAAACATGAGTGAATGATATAGATAAGTCGAACTAGTTTATGGGAATGAATGTTTGTAATTTTTAGACAAATAAGGCTCGTGTATCATGCCTTCTCTATTACTCTATTATATTTCTCTTCTTATCGTCTCTCAAATGTAACTTAAAATTTTTTATTCAAATAAATATAAAAGTAAAAGATAGGAATTATAATAAATGCAAAGAGAATAACCCAGAAGTGAAGATAAATTTTGAAGAATTTGTAATAATTTTTCACTCACATATTTGACCTACTAATCTCCTTGTGGCTCGAGGCTAGTATTAGAGATCCATCACTATTCATCGATCCTTATATCATGCATAAGATGTATAAATTTTATATTATGCGATTGAAGTTAGTATGCATTTTAAGAATAATTTGATTGACTAGTATGCATGCTAGGATGAAACCTATTAAATTTAAATCCTTTAAATTAAATATTAAGTTAAATGCCTTCTAACATTATGAGGAGGGAACTCTCTTGATCGTTGTTGGCTTGTTGAGATAACTCAAAGTCACTTCTTTCTTAAGGAAAACAAATCATGGGTCATGCGATGTCCCCGAATATTAGGTTTAATTTAAAATGAGTTATTGGGTTTGTTGAGATAACTCAAGATCTAATAAACTTATAGGCAAAGATTGGTATTTACATAAGCTATGACATGACAAGGAGTTGTCATGCCAATGAGATTAGAAATTCCATTAGATGGAATTGGTAAGGAGTTATCTACCTAATCTTTCATAAATAACTTGTTAAGACAACTCAATTTTAATGATGTGATCCTAACCCACTAAGGAAGATGAATAAAAAAGTCTTCTCAAGTCCTATATGTGAAGGTTATAGAACTTGAAGAAAATAGTGAGAGCGAACATAGATTTTACTTTTTTAATTTATGCTTTGTTTTATTTATGTAATTTAATTAACCAAATCGTATGTTTTTCTATCCTATCAAGGTTATTACATAGTATGACTGGTAATATATCGATGAGATTGATAATTAGTAAGAGTAATGCCTCAAATGGCATAAACTTCCTTGTTTGAAAAATGAATAAGAGGAATGTCCTCAAATATGAAAAAATGCTTTGTGTGATAAATAATAAGGAGTACCATAAATGGGGTATAAAAGAAGGGTTTTGAAAACACCTTTAATATTTATGTTATTAAAGTAAACTTTTCTACTTCTAGTCCAACATTATGGGTATTTGATACTTGGATATGGTGCACGCGTTTGCAAAAATTT